CTGATGATTTAGGAATAGTAGGCTGCATGGATCTAGTGCATGGATGGAGTGATCCTTTGCAGGATTGAGGGCTGCTCAGTGAAGGTAGAATGTGCTTCTAAAATGTTAGACCCTGATAAAGACCTAATAAAGATATTTGAGTTGCACAGCAATTTTACCTGTATTTTCCATCTTGGCAGTATTACTATGCATACATATATTAAGGTTCCCCAAAATTATTAAACAGTAAACATTTAGTACTGAGATGTGTAATTACTTTTTATATTATCCATTTGTCTCTTAGTATTTCATCATGTGTGAGTTATGATGTCATAGTAGAAGGAAAATAATTTGAAATTAATTTTTAGTCTGAAAATATATTCTAATTCAATGCATTGCCTGACTTAACGCATCTTTAAACATACCATCTGACATCTTCCAAATATGACCAAAAAGCTTTCTATTCTCCTCTAATCTTGGCTGTCATTTTGCTGTAGACAACTTATAAAATGTGCATTGTAATATACCATTTGGAGGCAACGGAGCTTGGTGCACTTACAGAATGAATGCATAAACTTCTGGTGCTTCATTACTAGCTTGCCAGTTTCTGATAACCAAATTATTTCCTGCTTCAGTTTTAATATTTGTCACGGCCCACCAACCTCTAGCTAAGCTAGTTAGATTTGTATGTTAATTGTGGAGATATTACTTGGATGTGCTTTGAAATCCTTGGAGGCCTTGTGTATATGTATGATACCAAAAAACCAACACAGTTTGTGAATACATTCTGTGGCTGGATAAGATTGTGAAAGGGAACCTTGCGTGAATTTTTATGTTTTCAAATAAGTGAATTGAATACAGAAATAGAACTGTTATACAAGAAGTATTTGGCCTTCACCAGTGTAATATATTTTCATGGTAATAGAGGCATTATGACTAGAAGTGCTTTGAAGCATTTAGAAAATACGAAAAGAATTGCTGGTTTCTCTTCATGCTTATTCTTCTCTTCAATTCTAAGAATAAGCATAGAAATTCAGGTACTTTCAGAAAATATATTACTTTTTAAACAAATTGGATTTTTTTTTTTTTGAGAAATGGTCTTCAGATTTTCAAATACCTTTAGCTTATTTTTCATCTTCTTTTATCTCATGCATCTGTACATTTGCAAGAAATGAGGGAAATACTCTGCTTCCAGATAGCTGTACACAGCTGTTGATGTACCTATGGCTCCACAGTCAGGTTAATACTAACATCACAATTTCTAGATTGTGCAAGCAGGCTTGAAGCTGTCATTTTTAATGCTATAATATGGGAAGGCTTGCCCAATTATTTAAATAAGAATATACTTTAATTAGTGCAACACTTAATATACTGCAGTATTTCCTTTTAAACACTGGAAATAGTGTCCCAGCTGAGGTGGGAGGCATTCTTTAATACCACTGCAGGTTAGGATCTAATACAAAATTAAAATAGAGTAACTACATAGATCAGCTTTCAGAAAGCTATTTGTTGCTAAAGCTCTGTTTCAGATAAATGGCCTGTCTTATAAAAGCACTTAAGTGTGTACCTGTGTTATATTTAACATTTAAAATGCAAAGTGATACCATAAGCCATGAATTAGACTAAATGGACAAATTGATTGGGGGAAAGAAATATTTGTGATACTATTCCTGTTTTAAATGAAAGGTACTGAGATAAATAGCTTGGCAGCGGCTATCTGGGTGTGTGATTTGTGAATGGTCTAAGCTTCTGTAAGGGCAAATCACCAATGAAAGAGGGAGTGGAGCATTCCTCCTTTGTCTCTGACACTGCCTTTGTACTCCTGCTCTTAGGCCAGTCCTACCATGCATGTAGCTGCATGACAAGCAGAATCAGAGCATTGATTTAGGCAAAAATTAACCTGGCTGAAAGAAAGACTAATAATACTTTAAAAAAAAAAAAAAAAAAAAGAATGAGTTCAATCTAATTCTTTGTAAAAATGTGGGGAAAAGGAAGATGGGAATGTGCAAGTGTAGAAGGATAATGAGACCACCTTTTTTTACAGTTATCTTCACTGATACACAATTAAATTAGCTCAAGTCAACCATGCAGTGTTCAGTTGTGCATTTTAAATACAAAATCATCCTTCTTCATATAATGGATACTGAAAATTAATATGGCTGTCACATCATTGTCCTTTTTAGCTGTTTTCCACACAGTAACCTTTTTTGGTGGTGTCTGGGGTGTATGGCCCTGTTGATTGAGCACACTTGGTGCTCTTATACAATAAAGAATGTAGAGAATAAGGGGAACTTCAGGTGGAAATACTCAACAGCAACTAATCATAACAAAAAAAAAAGCTAAATTTTTGTGCAATGTACTGGTCCTATTGTACAAATATATCTGTTCTGAATGTCTGTTTAATTAATAGATCTTTCTAGTTTCCTTAGTCACCTTTTAAAAAATGGATTGCTTCATTTTCCATGTTTTCTGAGTGAAGTTTCTACATGACCATTTCTGAGTAGATAAAGTTAAGCAGTTAAGAAGAGCTTTTTTAAGTCTCTGTGTGCAATTTAACCAGTGAGAAAGGTCAAATTTAATTTTACTTGGATGTGAAGAATAGGTGAAAAAACACTGTTGATTTTTCATGATTCTTTCAGTTAACTTGTAGAGGTCTTACACTCTGTTTTATAGAGCGCTAGTGGGATGAACAAACATGTTTTACAGCCGTCCCACCTCAAGGTAACAAGTTGTTCTGATCTGCTGCCATGTGAATATAAACTGAATTGTAAGCAGCCTGATGGACAAGGTTATGCTTTAGAAGAGATAGTCGCTCTAAATAACATTTGAGCAAGAAAGTCTTAACTGAAATTCTTTCCAGTTGATTTATTGCATATTCTAGCTTTACCCTAGCTTCACTTAAGCTTTTAAGCAGTTGAGAAACTCCTTGTAAGGTAACTATGAAAATCTTGATTGCGAATCATTCAACTTGTGTAACTCACGTAAAAGTTGGTACTTCTTGAGGGCTTTTTAAGATAGACCCCTGCTACTCACTTACCATATTTTGTCACTCTTTATGCACCTTTATGCACCTGATAGCTTAATTCACAAGAAGAATAAGTTAAGAATACAGTCAGATGGAGGAAAAATAAATTATAATTATGAGCACTAAGATTTTTTCTGCTGCATCTGTCATACTCCTTGGGAGTAAGGAGTGAAATGAAATACCAAACAATGCATGAAAGAGTTCTTGAAGTTTCACTATTAGCCGGCAAAACCTTTTATAGTTTAAGATGGTGGACTGTCTTTAATCTAACCTAATTGTATATAATATTTAATTTAATTTAATTTTATACTTCTTTCTGACAGTTGATAAAACTGAATCAGAGAATCCTTAAGAATTTACAGTTCTTCAAATTCTTTAGTCACTGCTGTCTCCCTGTGGCTTCTCTCACTTCTTTGCTATAATTTGCTATAATGCCTTGCACCAGTAGTCTAGTCTCTTACAGCACATGAGTGGTCACTGCAGGTAGTCAAATGTTTGAGTCATTAATCACTAGCAGTTCGGTTTCTTTTAAATAAAGTCAAAACACCAAAAAGCCAAAAAGGCATATTTGGGTTAAAAAAGAAAAGAAAAGGTGGATATCAGAATTTTTGTGTGACTCTTGGCAAAAAGTAATTTCTGTAGATTTTTCCGTAAAGGGAAAGAGTGAAGAGCTACCGGTCTTTTTTCAGTCTTAGACTCTATTATATGACTTGATAGTTTTTATTCTTCTTCTGCAATAACAACTCTGGTAGTATAAAAATGTTATGTGAAATGAAGTATCTGAAGAAGGAGAGGAAGGTGAGGAGGGAGGAATTTCTAACTGCCTAACTGTGGGGATAATTAGGAAGACATAGGCATTGCTGGAAAGCATTGATGACAATTTCCAGCCCAAGTAGTGGAGGATCTCACAAGGAATGGTGTGCCCCTGGACCTTATACTAACAAACAGGGAAGGCCTTGTTGGAGATGTGGAGGTTGAGGGCAGCCTTGCATCTGGAGTGACTGTGAGATTGTGGAATTCAGTAGTGGGCAAGGAGGAAGCAGGACAGCGAGTAAGATTGTAACATGGACTTCAGGAGAGCTAACTTTAGCCTTTTCAGGGATCTTCTTGGAAGAATCCTATGGTTCTGCAGGGAAGAGAGGTCCAAGAGAGCTGATTGATACTCAAGAATCACTTCTTCCAGGCTCAAGAATGATGCATCCCAATGAGAAAGAAATCAGGCAAAGAGGGCAAGTGACCTGTGTGGATGAATAAAGTCATTTCTCAAGTGTAAGCAGGAAATATGTAAGAGATGGAAGCAGGGTCAGGCTACTTGGAATGAATATAGAGTGCTTGTCAGATTAAGTAGATATGAGACAAGGAAGTGTAACAAAGACAAGGGCTGGATTCTGCACCTGAGACAGGGCAACCCCGGATGTACAAACAGACTGAAGGATCTGGAAGGGGAGCCGTACAAGGAGCAGCTGAGGTCACTTGGTCTGTTCAGCCTGCAGAAGAGGAGACTGAAGGGAGACCTCAGTGCAGTCTACAACTTCCTCAGGAGAGGAAGAGAAGGGGTAGGCACTGATCTCTTCTCTCTCGTGAGCAGTGATAGGACCCAAGGGATTGTCATGAAGCTGTATCAAGGATGAATTAGGTTGGATATTAGGAGAAGGTTCTTCACCCAGAGGATGACTGGGCACTGGAACAGGCTCCCTGTGTAAGTGGTCACAGCACCAAGCCTGACAGAGTTCAGCAGGTGTTTGGACAATGCTCTTGGGCACATGGTGTGATTCTCGGGGCTCTCCTGTGCAGGGCAAAGAGTTGGACTTTTATGATCCCTTTTGGTCCCTTCCATCTCAGGATATTCTGTGATTCTCTGAATTCTAAATCTTCATTGCTTGTCTAGGAATTTTTTTTTATTTATTTTGATGTGCTAAGCATAAAAAAAATAGAACCAATAAATTCCTAATGAAGCTAAGAACAACCTTAACTGATATTTGTGTTCTCTTAACAGAATCTGGTTCTGCAATTACTGCTTCCTGTATTGGTTTGGGAAACTCTACAACACCTCCACCCGGACAGGCAGGAAAACCTGTGCCAGGATATAATGGTAATACTATGCTAAAAATGTTACTAGAAAAGGACATTGCTTGTATTCCTCAGCAAGTGCTCCTTAATTGTAGCGAAAGCAAATTACAGTATTTCTAACACATTTTCCTCCTTCCTGAAACAGGAAATTCTACTTTTTTGTGTCATGGAATGTGATTGTGAATAAGAAATTCAGAGTTATGTTCAAGGAAACTGATCAGCTACTCCTGCCTTTATGATATGAAAGGGCTAGCACATACTGTGACACAATACTCGTTTACACTTCTCCACAATGCTTCTGCACTTTAACACAATTTGAGAGAGTTGTTAAGCACATTATCTTTCAGTATTTGTGGAGCATTTTTATTTCCAGCTGGGAGAAATGGTAGGCTTTGGACCAACATGAAAAGGATGTGCACTCATTGTCTGGAAGGTATTTGCATGCAGAGGGTGCAGAAATATTTTAATACCTGGGAACCCTGATTTTAACACAGTTTCAAGAATTACTTGAAGTCTGAAAAATAATTACATTAAAGATCAGATGATCTTCAGGAAAAGCTCTCACATAATTGGGCAGAAAGCAGAAAACAGGAGCTAAGCTGTTTTTTTCTTCTAATACATATAATTGGTAGTGAGCATTAAAGAAAATAGAACATTTTCAGCAGCTCTTGGTTTTGGCATTTACAGTTATGGCATGAGGACAAGCAGTAGCTTAAAAACAACTTTAAAACAATGCCAATGAGTTAGTCCAGAGTTGTAACAAATCGGAAAGAGTGGAAGAATGTAGTTGCATCATGCATACTATCAGATGATAGTCAGGATGAGAAAGAAATATGAGTAGCAGGAATTTAAAAATTTCCAATGCATATTTTGGAGCATTGGGACTAGTGTAATTAAAGAATTTCTTGAAGTGGAATGAAGGCAATGTCTTTAGCATACCTTATAAGGGAAACAAAAAATGAGCACTAAAAGTGACTAAAGATTTATGGTATAACTTTACCTCTTTCAGTCTTTGACCAATTATGTCCTGTAATGCAGCCATTCGTAAAATACTGATTTTTGAAATTACTCTATACTGGCCACTGCATTTTCCTGCTGTTACTGTATTAATTAGAGAGGATATTTAAACCATTTAGGTGATAGATTCTGTATTCTTAGATTATACATGCAGCTCTTAATGGTTGGTAAGTTGTGTTGTATTTATGCTGCAATATAAATACAAAGTTACAAGATCTACTTTTTTTTAACACAGACAAATTCTTTCCTATTACATATTGCTAAAAGTAAACTGATTCTTTGCTGATTTTTAAGAACACAGAGAGTAAGAGTTATGATATCAAAGTGCAGTGACACAAATGACGTTTATAAGGCATTCAGGATACCATGTTAATTTCTAGGTCTGTTGCCTTAAATCAGAGATTTTGTTGTGATTTTCCTTCGATCTACTTGAATCCTCTCCAGACAATTTCATTGCATTTTCAGACTGAAACAAGTTCCACATTTTGAAGAAATAAGTCAGTTCTTCAGTAATTCAGGAGTGAACAGTATAGTATCTCTGTTCTCCAGATTTGTCTACATTGAAATAAGCAGCTTGCAAGGAGGAGACTGAAGACTGAGATTAGTTCCTTGATGAATCAGTTACAAAAAGACGATTATATTTTACTCTAATATCATAAAAATAGGAGAGAAAACATTGAAAACTACATATGGGTGGATCTTTTCATGGTGTGTTCTGAGCCTAAATTCTCCAAATCTAACATGAACAAATCTACCATGTTCTTAGACCATCTAACAATAAATAAATACAAAACGTGTTTGCAGATTATGAATGGGTTTTGCTTATGCTGTTCTTGATGATTTTCCTAAGTGTCTTCTATGTGTCCAGTCATCCTTATTCATCCTTTTGATTTCCTGTCCCAGTTACACCAAGATACTGATTTGTAAAACTGGCCTTGTGTACTTGCTTGTGTCTATGTGCTGAGCCATTGCTTTCAGCAGGCTCTCTTTAATTACTTAAAAATGACCGTCTTCTTTGAAGGAACAGGGTCAGCCAGAAGTAGTAAATGTTGGCATTGTTTGGACAGATAGAATATGATATTACTCATACGAGCCTTAGCAGAGTTTTAGTCAGAAGTCTGTAATTTTCTTTTCCCATTTCCTCTGTGACCTTTTAATATAGAGTGTAAGATTATTTGTAGTAATTTAGATTCAGATGAACATTGCTTTCTTTGCTTGGGGAAGCTTCAAAAGGCATGTTTTTAAATCCTAATAAGCCCAATCTGACAGAATCTTCCCTCCTGTTCTTCTATGGTTTAGTTGCTTCACTTTATTTAACTTCATTTATCAGAGGCCAAGTTGGTATTTGTCATTCCTTTCTTATGCCCACACCTTTAGATGGAATGGGTGGTTGCAGTAGCTTCATCCCCCAGATGACTGCACAGAAGAGTCTATTTCAGGTGTTTTTCCTCAGAAATTTCAGTATCAGGATATGTTGCTTTCACTGAAGGTGGTGGGCCAGTGTCATCCAGGGAAAAGGCTTAACTTGAAGGTCTGGATTCTGTGCTGTACTTGAGCATTTCCCTGCTCTGCAGATTTGGGTAGTTCACAAGGTACTTTATGGCTTTGTGCTAGACTGCAATAACCTTGTTAGCTGGGGAGCATCTTTCTGAGACTCCTGAGAGCCTTTGAAAAGCAGGTGTACTTATTTACTGCCAATAGTATTTCTCACATTAACTGGGTTAACCTGCAGTAATCTAAGTTGTTATTTCTTGCTCACGTTACCCACATAGTTTTTCTGTATATTTGTTGTGTATCTTAATGGTCTTTTGCTATTTGGAAGTTTAGATTTTCCAGTATGAAGGTTGCTTTTAAATTTCAGTTCTCTGTTTTTCCCTTTTGAGACTTTGTTTCCCTATTTCTGCTACCAAAGCGTGAGTATTTGTGCTTTTTGTGCTTAAGGCTGAATGTTAATAAGGCCATAAGATTATCCAGTTTGGCACTCCCAAATTACTTAATTCCTTTTGTTGTTTGGTGTATTACCACTCTGAAGTGTGACATAAATTGATATCCCTCTAGACACTTTCCTCCACCTAAAATGACACTACTAAACTTGAGTTTTCTTCCTATATTACTTTTTTTACAGTGATGATTCTGGATGAAAATAAAGAACCAGTGAAGGCCAAGACACTGGGAAATATTGTGGTAAAGTAAGAAAAATAAGTATCTTACAGTTAAGGGAAACTTCTTACCTGGCTTGATTGTCTTTTGACTAAAGTTTATATATATATAAAGCACAATGATTGAAGTAATGAGGATTGAAAAGCGTGTTTGTCTCTGATATGGATACAAGACTGTCCTGTGATATTGAAGAGTTGCAGATGAAACTGTGTGAGTGAATGAGGGTGGATTGCTGGCTTTTTTTCTTAGACTACAGCAGAGTTTACCATTTTCATAATTGCCAGCCTGTTGACATAGGATGAAGCCTTCCTGCTGTGATGTATGAGCAACATACTGAATCACTCCCTTCATTCTTTTATCTTCCACTTTAGTGCAATAGTACAGCAGTGCAGGCTGACATGCTTTGGCTTACAGTTGTGATGCTGCCTCTTCTTTCGCTATTTCCTAATCCCAATTGATGCACATTCTTAGAGGAAGAACATATATTTTCTGTTTGCTGTAAAAAAAAAGAAAGATGTCTTTCTGTGTGCTTTGCATGAAACAGTGTTAGTTTGTAGTGGTACTTGGACAAAATACATACAGGACAGGACTAAGCAAAAAAAAAAGAAATAAGAAAAACCCACTGTGCATCATGTAGGTGATTTTTAGTACCGTTTACCAGACTCATGTCAGATGACTTCCATAAGCTTTAATATTCTTTTTGAAAGTACACCTTTCTTGGCACTTCTCTTAGCACAGTGAACATCAGTTACATTTATTATGCCTTCTGCCTTTTCAACTGTTGCCAGAACCTTTCCTTATTCCTGTAACACTCGACAGGCTGCTGCTCCCCACAGCCCATGACAACTCTGTATTCTGGATGTTTCACAGCTTTTAGGCAAATGGCATCTTCCTCAGACAGGTACCTGCTTTGTGATGAGTGTGGTAGCTGTAACCACCTCTGTTTTCAGTCACAGAAAATACTTCAGCTCTGAACACTTCCTAACTGCCAGCAAATAGAAGTAGAAAAGGAAATGCATTCATCTGTTTTTTCTGTGGTAAATTTCTGGAGAGTTGCAATAGTTCAGAGTCTTCACTGCTTGCTTAGATTAATGAAAGGAAATATAAAGACTAGCATTAACCTTCAGTGAACTGAAAATTTGTCAAAAGCTGAAACATTGGGACAGATGTACTGATTGTGATGAATTGTTAGCGACGTTAGCTGAGGATTGAGGCAACAGGCACATGAGCTGGGGATGAGAGACATAAGAGCTGCAGGCACTGGACTGTGCTGCAGATGTGCAGCATTAACAGTGTGGGTGGGCTGGCATGGGAGGTGAAGTTGCTGAGGTATGGAGGTTTTTTGCTCAGCTGCACTACTAATCTAATGTAACTAGACCACTGTGGAGGCTGAAGTAGTATCACATGAAGTTACTGTACTGTGTATTTTCAGGATGAAGTCTATACCCTGCCTAAATCTCAGCATCTTTGGCTGAGTCAACAAATACACAGGCATGGCTTTAAGGGCACACATGATCGTCCCTGAATCAGCAGACTCATAGTTAGATGTAGTTTTCTTGTGACACATGTAAAATTGTGCATTCATTACATTGTCAAGTATGTGCATGCATTCCATTACAGAGCAAAAATAATTGAAATTGCTCCAACCTTTTATAGACTGTAGTTGGAAGTATTTGTAACTCAGGTCAGAGTGGAAAGTTATCTTTCAAAGTTCTCACCTCTGTAGTGCCTGAAGCTGTAATAAAACATAGGCTTGTAGTCAGTGGAGAGAGAGAAAGGTATTTTTGTAAGACAAGTGATCCTAGCTGTCTTAGGTATTCAGCTAGGATGGAATAAATTGTCTTCCAGGTGTGCTGATGCCTCTCCAGTGACTGCAGTTTGCTTAGGATAGGTGCTTAGTCTTGTCTACCAAAAGAGAAGTGGAACAAACTCCATCTTTAGCAACTCTGCCAAACAATTTTAATTATATATACTGATAGTCAATGTTGGAAGATGTGTGCATATGTTTCTGAGTCCTTGCTGTCTTTAACTGCCTGTTAGGAGTGATGTTGCTATATTAGAAGATCCTGTTTGGAGTTACTGTCAAACTCCTAAACTCAGACTTTACCTTCTCTATTATGGCCCCACATTTAGGCATTTATCTAAATGTGTCATGGTTACAAGCCAGGGGAGGGAGTCATAATGATAAATATTGATACCATTGCATCATCTGAAGGGGGCTATCCCATAGCACGGTGTGAGGAGTTTGGTGGGGGGTGTTTATCTATGAGTAAAAAATTGTTCCGGGGTCTCAACCGCTGCTGGAAGCTGTCCTTGCCTCACAGGGACAGCAGCCAAACCAGGAGCTGCTGACACCCCTGAGCCACCGCTGCTCTGGACTGCTGTCACTCACACACTGTCACAGCCCACCAGGACTGCAGCATCCACACTGCTGCCACAGAGCACCACTGCCGCTCGCTCACCGCTCGCCCGCCACCGGGCTGCCGCTCACCCGCTGCTGGAGTGCTGGCACCACCCGCTCACCTGCCACTTGTTCACTGTGTGGAACCACTGCCCATGCCAGAACCCGTGCCAGTGCCGGGACCACTGAATCGGAGGGAGCAAAAGTGAAACGAATCCCTACAGCCCACAGCCCAGCCAAGTCAAGCGCGACAACACGCGGCAAGGAATGTAGAGATTCTGAACTGATACTACCACTGCAGTCAAGACCTGAACCTAATTAAGTGGCATGGAGTGGCCAGTTTGGTAGTGTGGCTCCTTGTGAGCAGTGCAGTTTTCCTGGGTTTTTGCTTTTACCCCATTGTTTTCCTATTGTTTGATTGGGCAGACAGGGGTGGTTGGCGAGGAGGACCCTCTGCCATTCTTTTTCCCCTCTGTTCCTGGGGGACCACGTGACACAGTGATTTCTCTTTTTTGTGGGTAAGCTGTTTCCCTTGTATCTTTATGGTGCTGCTATTTTTCCTTGTTAGTAAACTGTTATTTTTCCACTTATAACTTCCTTTCATTTTTTTGTCTCTCTGTATTGGGGAAGTTGAATAAAAAGGGGAGGGAGCTCATTATATTTGAGTTCCCATCCCCTTAGTTGTCTTTAAACCAAGTCAAAATTGAGCTTTCCCAACATGGGGCTTGAGAAAGAGAAGTGAAAAAATAAGTTTTGAACAACTCATTTGTGTATTGGGTATAGAACCCCTGGCCATCATGAAGATCAATCTACTCGTGTCGGTGTGGCACCTAACCCTGTATGTATGTTCACATATGTGGAACTGTTTGCCCAACACAGTGCTCTTTTTCAAAGCAGGGAAAAGAACCAAGATACCTGTGTTGATATACTGTTGCATGACATTGGTTTATAATGTGGTAACTTCAAAGACCATGAGTTTTATTTGGAATGTGTATACAGGGTTGTGCCCTGGATTGCTTCTCTGAGGGTTTATTGATAATGGCACCCAACCCATGGGGGAGAGGGAGGGGATGATTTTTCCCAGCCTTTCACTCCTTTCTCATTGAGGTCTGCTACAACAGATTTTGAAAAAATTTGAATTCCCTCTGGATGCTAGGGATAGCATAATTTTGTTGCTATGTCTTTCAGGTTTCCTCAGTGTGGTCTACCTCATGTTTGAAGACAGGACCACGATATTTAGGGAAGTTTCCCAGAGGCCTGCCCCAGGGGTGGATAACCTTGAGTGGCATGGCATGTGGGAGGACATGGGCCAGTTTTTGGAGAACTTCTCCGATGGTTTGGAAGTTCATCCCTGAAGAACTTTAGGACCCTGTTAAAGTGATAAGATTTGTGAAGGAAAAATGCTGTGGCAGCTCCAGAGAAAGGCAGCTTACTGTGACATGCTGGGCCCTAGCCACTGCCTACCAAACACTGCTCCATATCCTACAGCACCTTCAGGAGGAAAGGAAAGGAAACAAAATAACAGGCGTGACAGCCACTCAGATCATAGTTAAGCCAGAAAGGCCTCCTCCAAAGAAACCTTTTCTTTCTTCAGCAGTCTTCTATATGTACAGACCCCTTAAATATAGTGGGAATGATTCTTGTTACTAGCAGTGTTTGTCACCCTAGGGACATGTCATCATCATTGCATCTGGATGATGCAGTGATATTTTTGATTTCTGAAGTCTTTCAGAATAAAGTAATCGAAAGCAGCATCACAACACTGATGATGGAAAGACAAGGGAAAATGAAGATGACTGCAGCTCATGAGGATGGGCTTGTATGAGTTGTTTTTAAATTTATATATGTACCTTTTTGAGGTAGAATTTTGGACATGAAAGATTCTGAGAATTTATTCTGAAGTGAAAATGATAGTAGGAATTACCTCCATTTCCATTAGCAAGACCAGTCTGGTTTGGTGACGCAGTTCTGCTTGCAGTTTTCTGGCCTGCCTGTAATTTGTACACACTTGAAAATGTGTATGTGTGTGCATGTAATTATGATAAGCCATGAGAATTTTCCAAGTTGTCTGTTCTTATAAGGAATGTTAACAAAGAGAAATCCCATTTAAATTCCAGTGCAGTGGGAAACTCAGTTTTGCTCTTGTAAAGATCACAAACCCGTTATTTTTTGAAGCAGTTGTCAGCAGCGTCTCATTAGCTAGCATTATTCTTTATATTCATCCACAGCAATAGGACTACATTTGCCTTGTGTTCATTCTGTCCATAGAGTAGGTACTGTCAGTAAATTTCCTGCTAGACCCTAGTTACACTTCCTCTCGTGTTCATATAGTTAATTTTGTGCCATAATAATGGAGGAATGCAGGATAAATATTTGCAAGTTTGCTTTACTGATCTCCACTGCACAGAATCATGTAAATATGTTCCATATTTAGCAGGAGGTGAGACAATGTAGTTACGTCGTGCAGTGATTCTGAAATGCTTTGGTTGCATTGATTAGATTGCATTTAAGAATAGTGACTGTGTGAGAGGCTCTGTATTAATGTTATGGATTTCTTTTTGTGAATTTGAGATTACTGGAGGAAGAGGAAGAAAAATAAAATGTTCTATCAAGAGTTAGAATTATTCA